GAGCCTCGCAGCTGCTAGAAACGTCCCCATCCACCAGCATGAAGCTGCGACACAGCTGCTGCTATCTGCTGACCAGCCACTCAGTCACACAAACACTCCGCTCACCGGAACATTGTATGCACGGGAACTAGTAGAGGAGGACACTTCACACGGTGGAGCGCTTGCTCCTCTGTTGTCCTCAAACGATGATACAGAAGAAGAGAAAGAACAAACAGACAATGTGGTTGAACTGGATGAAGACGTGGGTACTGACGACGACGACGACAAACACGCTCACACTGCTGCCACAGCTGCGGAGGAAGCGGATGGAGGCAGAACTAAACAGAACGTTACGGAATTACAGGATAGAGTTGTTATTGAAGGCAATTACTGTCTTCATAAAACAGTTAGAGTCGATGAAGAATGTTACGCCATACATTTGAGTGAACGAGTTTCCACCGATTAATTATATTTTTATCATTTATTGATATTAAGTAGGTATTGTGAAGACTAACTTCTTTTTGTTAAACTAAATGAAATGTTACACTTAATAGCTGGACGATGAGTTCCTAGTGCTAGTCCTGTAGAACAAGTGCGAGTTGCCGATAACATGATGAAGATGACGTTGTCACCAAATCACCAAGTTGTACTGACTCCGAAAAGACTTACAGTTTTATGTTTTAATTGCATTTTGTTTAAAGGAATTTACTTTCAAACAATGTGAGAAATAAATATTTACTTACATACCTACAAATACTACTAATATCGTCAAAGTCAGAGTCAACGCGTTTGTTTCAATTATTGTTGATCGAAGTTTCAATTAATCTTTAATTGAGCCCTCATGACTAGTCAAGTGAAACAAGTGAATCAAGTGAATTTATTTCTGCAAATGGGCTACAAGGCACCACTTTTACATGTCAATTATTTTGTTTTTGAATTTTATTTTATAATATTTTATAATTTTATTAATTAATCGAAAATTGAATTGTCCGTCCATCTGTATGAAAGTGAAGCTAGGCGCTAGTTCCTGTAGATTCAAATAAAAAATGAGCAAGAAGCTTCATCGTTATTCTTAAAAAAATATTTTTTACAATCTCATTGATACAACATCTGATCGTTTACCTATTGTATGTGAGAACGATGTAACGGCAACACAACTCCAACATTAATGGGACTATGGATACAATTCTTGAAAAAAGCTATGAACGATGTTGCAAACATGGTGCCCGATTTGAACATAAACATGTTTCTATACAAATAAAATTCTCTGTTTAAGTCTTTCAAATCAAAAAAGAAATGTTTGATGCCATTAGATATCTAATTTACATTGGAATTGAGACTCATTCTTAGAGTTTGAACAAGTACTGAGTGTATTGAGTGTTGATTTTTTAATATATCTTTTAATAGGCAGGACACAACACATTTATCCCGAAAAAGTATATATACACGAAAAAACAAACTTAATTGTGCGGCGCAAACCCTAGACAAAGTTACTGTAGCAAACGCAAATATAAGTTTGTCGAATGTTAGGCTGCCCGTAGTAGACTTTACGCTGTAACTGTAGGGCCGATGGTTGAAATTAGCTTGAACCGATATTATAAATTTGAAAATATGTGAGTTCGTGTGTAAGTTTGTTACCCAGTGACATCAAAACGGCTGAAGGGACCGGGATGAAATTTTTTACGGGGAGATAATCACCGAATGGCGGCCCCCGTTCCAGGAGTGTCAGACTCTTCCTGACTATAAACCATCCCGTTCCTACTCCTACACTTCGAGCCAGAGCCTCGGCTACCCGTTAAGTTCTCCGCGGCTGGAACAGAGGTAGATTATGGTCTAGAGCAGTGATTCCCAAAGTGGTGAGACTTGCTGGGGGTCTACGTAGGCGTGAATAAACAATGGGGGTATAAGATGTTAATGGCAGTAAAGAGCAAAATGTGAGCATAGTTTTTTATAAGGGCCTACCTACATTGTTATAAGTACGTTGGTTGTCGAAAGGTTAACGAGATTTTACTCTATTTTTGATTCCGTATTAGAATTCCTAGAAAGCATAGATCCAGATTTAAAAGACTAAATTGAGTATTTAGTATTGAGTATCTTTCGTTGTGTTCAAATGAATTACGTATATTATCTGAAATATTAATTATTTAATACATTATAGATATTACATTTATTTTATGAATGTTTTATCTATGTCAGGATCTAATTAGTAAGTTATCGTTTATCAAAGAAATTCCATCGCGAGCCAAATTATGTTTAATTAGAATTTTATTACAACTAATTATATGACATAGAAATATATTATGTCAGATATTTTATGAACAGCAATGAGAGGTGTGAGTGACTGTAAGTCTGTAAAACTGTCTGTACTGTGACCTGTCAAACTTTTAACAAAAGATCTAACTCTATAAACAACCTCCAACGTATACTTCATAATTCCTCTGGTGTTGCGGGTGTCCGTGGGCGGTGCTGACCGCTTACCAGATGATCCGTCTGCTCTTTAGGGTACACTATTATAACATCACGCCTTTTATCCCCGAAGGTGTAGGCAGAGGTGCACTTTACGGCACTTAATGCCACTGTATAATGTAACACACACTTAGGAGTCCCATGTAATAAGGCTGAGCCTATTGCCATATACCGGGCACAATTCCAGACTCCGTGTTACTACTGGGAAATGTTTTATTAAAACCCAGTAATACTTTGCACGACCCAGAAATCGAACCAGAGACCTCTTGCCCTTAGTCGCACTTGCGACGACTTGGCCAACGAGGCGTGTACTTTATTCCATAAGAAAAAAATACCTGGGCTGGGATTTGAAACTATACTCAAGATTACTATCATCGAACCCTACATTGTAACTGTAGACACGTGTCTCGTGTAATCAATGCTGCATGATATCATACTTTATGTGCTCACAATTTATTATTATGGTCGGCGTTTGGTCATTGCTTCACGTGTTACTAGTTTGATTCTAGCGCGACATTTTATTTTTTCATAGTTTCTTTAGAAACTTGAATGGACCGGCTCGACTGGAGTGATACCACGGCCTCATAGAAAATGGAAGTGAAACAACGCTTGCGTTGTGTTTCGTCGTGTGAGGTTACCGGAGGCCCAATTATCATGCCCGACGTAATGACGACATGATTGGTGGTGGCTGGACAACTGGCTGCCGCGCAACGTGACACGGCTTCGATTCCTGCACGGAATAAATCTTTGTGTGATCCACACATTGTTTTTCCGGGTCTGGGTGTCATTGTGTATGTGAACTTGTATGTTTTATAAATGCACCCACAACATAGGAGAAAATCCTATAGTGGAGCAACGTTTTTTAAAATCAACAAAAAGGAACAATCTTCAAAAGGCTCTCTCTCTCTCTCTAACGCACTTGTAACTCCTCTAGTGTTTCGGATGTCCACGGGCGGCGCCGATTGCTTACCATCAGGTCATCCGTGTGTTCGTTTAGTGGCTTATCCCATAAAAAAATGATATTGTAGTCGCCACCTTCTAAGTTATAAAATGTTGTAGGCAGGTTATGCAATGTACCATCCAGTATTTACCATTAATATTATGAGTCCTACAGGTACATTACCGAACTGTGTATCTGATAATTCTTGTAAACCCAATAATCTCAATAATAATAATGGTACTCGAGAATCGAATCTCGGATTCGTTTCCTCGACCGTCGTGCTTGCGTCCACTCGACTAACAGCAAGGTAAATATATACAAAAGTATAAAACATTGTCTGGCACTCATCTTCAGTTCGCTTCCATCCACGGCTGGACCCAGTACTCTAGATACACGTGAATAAATCAATTCTAACATTAAGAACCTACTTCACAATTTTAAATTTGCTGTTAACTTGACTGACAAATAATTTCGTACGGAAACCACGGTAAATTATTCGTCAGTTAGCATATGAAACCAAATAAAGGCTCGGTAGTTATACAAGGTGTAGTTTTGAAGCCGTGTCATTTCTCGGGGGCATGTCACAGACGTCCTAAAGGTTCAATGTACGAGAAAATTTCGGACCAATAGTTATAAATACGGCTATAATAAATCGTTAAAGTTCGACAGTATTTCAGAATAAGCGACAGCAATGTTTCTTATTGGAGTTTTATGCAATTAGGAATAATATCAATTACGTGTTTGAGTTTGTGTGTGTTAAGTCGCGCTATAAAACTAGTTACAAGACGGCGGCGTGTACTTCGCACTTACGGAATTCCGTTATATCAGAAAAATAAAAAACATTTACGGAATCGATATCCGAGTTACCTCCTAGAAAATGACGCGGCTTTAAAACAACACCTTGTATAAATAGTTTAAATAGGTGACCACTAAGATTATGTCGTGGGTTTTTCTTTAAATTATTATTATCATCAAAGTCTTGGGTACTCGCTATACGTGGCGGCGGTTGTTAACAATAGAGGTTTTTTTTGCAATGATTAGGAAGTCTGTCTCGTTGGCCGAGTGGTTGCACGTGCGACTGTCGGGCAAGGGGTCTTCTTGATTCCCGGATCGGGCAAAATATTATTGTTTTTTTTTTAATCTCAGTAGTAGCACGGAGGCTGTAATTGTGCCCGGTGTATGGCAATACGCTCACCCCTTATTACATGGGACTAATAAAATAAGTAGTAAAAAGTGGGTGTTACATTGTACAGTGTCATTAAGTGCCGTAATGTGCACCTGTGCCTACCCCTTCGGGGATGTCACGAAGAACTTAACGGGTAACCGGCGCTCCAGCTCGAAGTGCAGGAGATGGAACGGGGTGGTTTAGTCAGTAAGAGTCTGACACTCCCTCCCGCCTCACACAGGCGGGAGCAGTCATTCGATGATTTTCCCCCCTTAAAAAAAAACCCTTCGGAGATAAAAAGGTCGAATGTTATGTAATGATTAGGAAGTATGATAAGAAGGAAGTAGACAGGTATGTTTACACAATATTTTATTATTTTAATTTTAAAGCTTAAACTTTGTACATACATTTATATATTCCACATTAATAAGCTAAAAAAAAAAAAAAAAAAAAAGCTAACGGGCGAAAAGCCGATTGTAATTCAAAATCGATCCAAGTTTTCGAATGCATACAAAATAGTATCAACAATCAGACATTTATTTCAGCCGCTGGTAGACTAAGCTTTAGCTAAATAAGACTTTCATCATTGAGAGTATTATGATTTCCACACACCGTACATGATTCTAGGTTTTCAGGCTTCTCCTCAGGTTTCTGGTCAATTAAAAAAAACGGTATACTGTTTAACCGGTAATAAAATTGGAACACTCCTTTCACAGCAGTCACAATATTATGACCTATGAATCATTTTTAGAAATGTTTAACCTCGGAATGGTTTTCACACATTCCGATTATGATACACATGATTGACTACGGAGATGTACATAATATAAAATAAGAACGAAAAACAAAATCCAAGAATTTTTCCATTCCCTTCTGCTAATAAAACAATCATCTGAACATAGGATTTCCTCTTTTTTCTGTAGTTGGTAAATATACAACTATAAATATGTTTGCGACTCCTAAAGCCACGTGTATATTATTATTACTAAGAGTTTACATAACCAACAGCAAACTAACCATAGTTACACATTGACCAAACAATTCCCAAGTAGGTTTTACAAAAAAATATATTGTGTACATTATGACACATACCTACTTATGTATTTCCGACCAAGATGTTGACAATAAGTATCATCACATTCATCACGTTCGCATCGTAGACAAAAGCCTATCAAGTTATCCTACAGTTGCAAACTGTAATACTCCTTAACACAAAACGATAACGTTGTAATTGCAATACAAAATTCGGACATAGAAGTGTAACTTGTGGTGCTGGTGTCTTCACAATTACATAGTTAAGTATATTGTATTGAGTTGGCCTTGAATATTGCGTTAAGATATTTCCACCAAACACCAATGTTTGTACGTGCGAGCATTGACAAGTACTTCTCATGAAGCGTGTATGTACAGTCCGCATAGTCAATTAGTTAGCACACATCGATAAACTGTCCATCAATTGAGTTTAAATGTGTGAATAAATTGAATCGTCTGATCAAGTTCTATATTATTATACATAATTATATCTCGATATAAATATATTTTCTTGTAGTGTTTATTGGTATGCAATATTACGTACTTTTCAAACCGGGTGTGCAATGGTAGCATCTTATTGTAATAATTATTTTTCAAAAATTATTCAAATTTAATTTACTGTTTTACGTCCAGGTCGTGATATCGCAGATCTAAAGTAAACGATGAAGTGATACCCACACATGTAACACGTCATTAATGACAGTCACAGATGTGTGTGTGTGTGAGTTGTAAACCATTTCTCTGAGCTGTGTGTACTGAGTTGTACGGTCTACGAGTTCAAAGATTATCAGCATTAAAAATTGTTTCATTTACCTCGCAACAATAATTAATTTACGAAGTAGTAAGAACTACAGTTTATTTGTCTCTTTGGTTGGAGCACAACGGCTGACACGTGGTTAGGATTCGAAACCATATTTTTTCGAACTTTAAAGTTATATTGTTGTAAAATAAATATAACTTTCAAGGTCTTCTCTGCTTACCTCTTCCAGAAATATGTAATACAATATTATATGTTACCCTTTAGACAAAAGATAATTATGTAAGTCAATTTTGTTACAAAAAATTTAATTTTGTGAGCAAAACAAATTCATGAGCTAAAATTTTAACAAAACGTGTTGTTGTATTAAAGCGTGACCTCAGATAACTTGTCTCTTATGTTTACGTACTACTTTCTTGTTACTTTAAAAAAGAAATCTCGATTGTCCTACTTATAGTAGACATTACAATGTTAGGAACTATTAGATCACAGTTTAACCCATACAAGTTTCCACCTTCCACCGCAATACACCATTTTCTACTGAGATTAGACTCACGTAGTCAACATCCTGATTGAACAGTGTCACCGATAATGCTACACAACCTCTACACGAATGTCCACGGGTACATTGACCTCACTCGCTATTCTGATCACTTTCATAATACTGCGAAATACGTGACACCTCACACTATCTACTGAGTATACAGAAGTGACAACGTCTCTCCGACTGCACTGGTTTCACTAAGCCCCCCACGAGCTGTACCACCGATTCATGTTCCCTGGCCAACGAGCTCCGCTGTCAGTCAGGAGTGATGCACATAGAGCCGACCTTCACCTTGCCGGCAGGACAGGCTACTCCGTCGAACGCTGCTCGGTCGTCCAGGCCGACAGTTGCAGTTTCCACCTTAGGATCTTCTCCGTTGCTCCAGATCCACCTGTCGTCGTCCACATTATTGTCTGTTCTCTGTACATTATTCTTAGCTGTGACTTCATCACCACTGCTCTGAGTCTTGTTACTGCTTTCCTCGCCAGTAGTGTTATGGTGAACAGCGTCAGTACTGTTAGCTACTTTGCCATTTATATTTGTCGAGTTGTACTGTTTATCAAGCCCCGGCTTAGAAGGTACATCATTAAAGTGCAATGAATTACTATAATTACTATTGGAATTAATGCTTCTCGTTGTAATATTGGCATTGTCTTCAAGCTGACTATTGTGTTCATTATTCCAAGTAATTTGTTGTTCATTAATTACCAGCGTGCGGTTTACGTCACCTGACTGCATGTTAAGTTGCATGTCATTTACGTCAACTTGTGTTCTATTTAAATCTATTGTTGTATTCGTTTGATTGATGTCTGCTCCTGTGTCCTCTTGCTCTGCAGGATCTCGTTTGGTGCTTGGAAATGTTTTGCTTTCGTCTCTGTTTGCAGGATTAAACCTGTTAATGATGTTCGCAGGTTTAGTTACTACTGCACTCCACGGGACCTCCCTGTTGCTCCACTCGTACGGATTTAGGTAGTTGTACTGGGTATCCATTTGTCTGCCTGTACTGTCTCTGTTGAAGTCGCGTCGCTGGTTGTATACCTCCCCCCTAACATCATTGTGTCGCCTTGGGTTCTCGTACGTTTGCATAAATCGCGTTTCATCCCCGGGTCCGTACGCGAAGATGTCACTAAACAGCGTCGTGATGGGGCGGTAGTTGTCGTAGGTATCGTATCTGTGTGTCGTGAAAGCAGAACTCGAAGCGACGAGTGTGAGCACTACCACTTGTATCATTGTCACTGATTTCACTCGATTCGGTTTCCGTAATTGTGCGACTTCTTATGTAGGCGTGCGGCCGCGTCGCGTCCTCGCGCTGTACTGTAAGACGTTGGTGACGTAAGTATTGAATGTGGCTATCATACTGCAGATTTCGGAGAACCAGTGGTAGGGGTGCATGGTGTGGATTCGTGTATTAATGTCCAACAATAGTGACTCAAGCATTTAAATTTTATTTTTGTTCTATTAACTTATTTCACTGAATCATTTTCTTGAGTTGAACAGGAAGGAAATATAAACATTCAATTGATAAATTCATTGATAAAAAATATTGTAATTCTTTTTTTTTATGGCATAAGTCGGTAATCGAGCTGACGGATTACCTGATGGTAAGCCAACGGCGTCGCCCATGGACACCTGAAACACCAGAGGCGTTACAAGTGCATTACCGGCCTTTTGGGGTTTAGGAGTTTGAGGATTGTTTTCTGCTCGGCCGTGGTATCACTCCGGTCGAGCCGGCCCATTCGTGCCGAAGCATGGTTCTCCCTCTACTAAAACATTTGTCGCTATTGTAACATATATTATTATTAGGAATGTGAATCATGTTAAGGAAGTCTATATTACAATGTACTGATATGGACAATAATCCGTAATAGGAAAGTCAATTTTCTAAAGATATACATTTTTGAGAAGGATGGAACAACATGATTGAATGCACTATACGCAGTAACATAATATTATCGAGATCGCAAGCACGTGGTGCCACCAGCCCTGCACGATAGCTCACTAGAAGATCACTTGGAACAAGTAAACACAATGATCTCACACAATGATCGTTTGACCCGAGCCGGCATTGATCGTGTTTTGTTATTATAATTTACTAATCGAGTATTCTGTATACGGAAAATTACGTGACCTTATTGATTGTGTTGAAGGGAACTATTATTATTCAATTATGTATAATTCAAGATGTGTTCCTCATAGTCCACGCGTGAGTTATTGTAACTGTGGTGTTTTGTGGCCGTCGCAAGTACCACTGCCAAGCAACAGATTTCGGTTTGCTTCCTGGTAATGTCAATAGATTCACATATTCACATGAAACTCGTTTCAGAAGTTGCACGTCAACGTTTAATCGAAAGCTTATTTTACATTGTGTTTTGATCAAAGAAACATTTAATATTTTGAACACTTTGTCGATCAATTGATGTTGTAGCATTGTATCCGAAGGTGTACACCCATATAGTAGCAGTTTAACTTCATTTATTTATCAAAGTTACAGTTGCAAACATAATATGTTTTTTAATTGATCGTCCGTGCCACGCGTGGCTGACTGGTGTAATTCAGAGGGGAAAGCGGTGGGAAATAATAATATTACAGGTACATACATAATGTTTATTTATTTACCAAAATTACTAACCGGCAAGTATTCTGTTATAGAAATATAGAAAGAAATAGAATAGAATAAAAAGATATTTTTTAAATAATAGGCAAAGTCAATGAATTTAGTGAGTACGTAGTAAATAAAATATTTGTACTATTGATACACACACAATACAATGTGGGAAAATTGGACAACTACAAACGGAACACTACACACTAGATAACAATTGACTTATCGACCAACAACAACACAAACATAACAACAATTAACTACACGATGAAGAAACAACGGAACTAACAACAAGAATACATCAACAGTTCTACAGACGTCACGACGACTTAACGATAACTTATGACTTATTTTTGTTATGTATTATATAACAGTCAGTTCCAACTCTCACTTTCCCAGGAACACAGCCATCGGCTTTAATAGCGTCTCTATCCTGTAATTCCGCAGCGTTCTGTTTAGTTCTGCCTCCATCCGCTTCCTCCGCAGCTGTGGCAGCAGTGTGAGCGTGTTTTTCAGTACCCACGTCATCATCCAGTTCCACCACATTGTCTGTCTTTTCTTTTACTTCTTCTGTATTATCGTTTGATGACATCAGAGGAGCAAGCGCTCCTCCGTGTGCAGTGTCCTCCTCTAGTCGTTCCCGTGCAAGCAATGTTCCGGTGAGCGGAGTGTTTGTGTGACTGAGTGGCTGGTCAGTAAACAGCAGCGGCTGCGTCGCAGCTTCATGCTGGTGGATGGGGATGGTTCTGGCTGCCGCGAGGCTCAGCACTGTCAGGATTACTACAGCGATCATTTCCATTGTTATAGGACTGGGAATGAGCGAACTCAATTTATAGTCTCAATAACTATAATGGAAGGATACGACTGCACTCCACACGCCGTCGACTAGGACTGTTTACCTTAAAGCGAATATGTGCCGTATTTATAGTACAGAATTCCTGAACATAGGTATATTGCTGCAGCACGTCCCGTGTGCGTAATTGACGTAATATGAACATTTGTTATCAAAGCCACAATTCTCACATTTACCTTCTGAAGTTTTGCAGCGATCCGCCATACCGGAGTTAGACCTGTACCGCGTACTGTACTTTCCTCAACGCTTTGATTTCTGAGAGTGGTATGTTCTATTTTATGAGATTCCAAGAGTTGCTACACGTAGTATTCTTAAAAAATATCTAAAAATCGCCGCGACTGCGCACGCTGCTCATGAGAAAGAACCCCTCTGTGGTTCGAAACGAGTAGAGCTTTTCTCAGTATATTCTCGTGAGTAACCCGCAATTTTTAGTTAATTTAGTATGTGTCACAATAGTTATTATAAAACGAAGTATTCCGATGGGTCAGCAGAAGTTTGCAACTTGGATTAATGGGTAGCAGTACAAGCAGTCCGTCCATCACATACACATACTGGGAGTGCAATCGCTGACAACATGAACGTAACATTACGTTACATATTGTAATAGTTGCATTAGTTGAATCTAGAAGATTTTTTTTGTAGCTTTACAATTGTAAGGACGGGACTTTTTTTTTAAGAGTGGAAAATCATCGAATGACTGCTCCCGCCTGGGTGAGGCGGGAGGGAGTCTCAGACTCTTACTGACTAAAAACCATCCCGTTCCTTCTCCTGCACGTCGAGCCGGAGCCCCGGTTACCCGTCAAGGACGGGACTTAGATGAATCAAACAAGAAGTTAATTGTTACACGTTCCGTTTATTAATACCTTCTCCTCTCCAGAGATACAGTTTGTATTCTTATGAACTAACGATTACCACGTCGCACGCCCTATCATAAACAAAAAAAGAAAACATGAAAATTTTCTTTTAACTTAAGTGATTAGCACAAAAGATTGAGTATAATGTAGATTAAACGTGGATACATTTGTTTGTGGTATAAGTAGTAATAAGTACTTATTTATCATATGATTATAATGTAATATCTAATATTATATTCAATACACTTTAAAACTAAACAATAAACAATGTCATCATTAGACAAACTTCATTTGATACCGTAGTCGTACAATTATAAATAAAAGTGTTACAATAAAATATTATCTCATCCATGATAAAGTCTAGTTCTATTTTTAATTTTATTTTTATGAATAATTTTTTCTTTCCCTTTTACTAAAACAACACCATTTGGAGATATTTGCGCGACTTTGACTTAAAATGGACTCATTTTTAACTAATATTTGGTCCCCAGTTTTATATGTTATAGGATTTATACTGCTACCATATTTACCTTTCCTGACGATTTTAGAATTGATAAGATTGTTTTTAGCATCTATTTGAGAGTTTTGTAAACGGAATTTCATTCCCGTAGGATTTTCAGAATTTTTTCTGTCTTAAGAACCTGGCAATAACAAACACAACAAAAAGAAATCAGCCAAATCGGTCTAGCCGTTCTCGAGTTATGGCGTGACATGACAACGGGAAACGGGTTTAATTATTATACAGATAAATAAATTGGGTCCAGTGAGGTAGTAAGGTTTTTTTAAGGGGGTACAATCATCAAAGGAATGACTGCTCCTGCTTGGGCGAGGCGGGAGGGAGACTCTTACTGACTAAAAACCACCCCGTTCCTTCTCCTGCACGTCGAGCCGGAGCCCCGGTTACCCGTTAGGTATTCCGCGCCATATTTTGTATACTTATGAATTCTTCTTTGTTTTTAAGTGCTGTAATTTTATCAACGATAATAATTTCCTAACCCTTTCTCCGCTTAAATCTTCCTTTTTGAATGAGCAAATATTATAATTAGATAAATAATCAATGTCAGGCTTAAAATAATTAAGTTGAACTTCTGTTTCACGGATATCTAATATTTATACTAAGATCTTTCCCTGTTTAGTGTGACAGATACTTCCAGCGACAAAGACTGCCTCCGACGACGTACAGGGACCTTGATGCGCCCGTTCTTCATATTTAGCCGCGCGTAGAATAATTTTAAGTTCTGTGTTATCTCTATCCGCTAAAATAGTACTCAGTCGACCATTTCGTCCATCATCACCATCCGTATACCGCTGAATAGAACCCAACGGGTAACCGGGGCTCCGGCTCGACGTGCAGGAGAAGGAACGGGGTGGTTTTAATCAGTAAGAGTCTGACACTCCCTTCCGCCTCACCCAGGCGGGAGCAGTAATTCGATGATTTCCCCCCCTTCAAAAAAAAATACCGCTGAATAGCTAGTTTTTCATTTACAGGTCTAAACATTTTATATGCGTTTTCGTTTCCGTCAGCTTGAGATATAGTTAATTCAACAAATAGTTCGTCTAGTTTCTTACCAAATTTATCAATGCTCTGGGACTTCAAACTCAAACTCAAAAGCATTTATTTCAATTAAACCATAATTTGGTACTTTTGAAACGTCAACAAATATGAAATAAATAACAGTCTGTCAGTCTGTCCGTCAGGGAAGCTAGGCGCTCGTTTCAAAATGTCGATTCGAGTGGAGAAGAACGAGCAAGAAACTCCATTCGTTACTCTTTTAAAAAAAAGTCTATTTTACTTTGCTCTGATACATATTCCAATATTGTACACACATGTGAGAATAATGTAAAGACATACCAGACGCAACATACAAATAACAGAACGTACTAAAATAAAAAAACAAAACCAAGAGAAAATAAATATCTTAGGTCTGACATGGTCCTCACATATGTATACTGACAATCCATATAAAATAGTGCTTCTATACAAGAAAAAATAAATAAATAAATAAACTCTTGTTTAAATAAAGAAACAACTCCTGTCTAGACTGCAATAGCTCCAACTGGTTTGTCTTACTTCATTTTACCAAGTTTATTTTAATATTTTTTAATGCTTTATGTATTTCTATTAAATCAGACATTTAACCCTAATATATCTATCATATATAATAATCATATTAGCGAGATAACATATTAAAAGAAAATCTTAACTAAATGCCTCTGTCCATGTAAACGCTGTAACCACTTTGGAACACATTTC